GTGTGTGTGTGTGTGTGTGTGTGTGTGTGTGTGTGTGTGTGTGTGAGTGTGTGTGTGTGTGTGTGTGTGTGTGTGAGTGTGTGTGTGTGTCTGTATGTATGTATGTATGCAAGTGAATAACCACGAAAATTTCCCTTCACAATACAGAAATGAAAAAAAGTAAAAAATATATATATATATATACATATACATATATATATATATATACATATATATATACATATATATATATATATATACATATATATATACATATACATACACACACACAGACACACATACACACACACACACACACACACACACACACACACACACACACACACACATATATATATATATATATATATATATATATATATATATATATATATATATATATATATTTATATATATATATATATATGTATATATATATATATATATATATATATATATATCTGTATGTATGTATGTATGCAAGTGAATAACCACGAAAATTTCCCTTCACAATACAGAAATGAAAAAAAGTAAAAAAAAAAAAAAAAAAAAAAAAAAAAAAAAAAAAAAAATATATATATATATATATATATATATATATATATATATATATATATATACATATATATATATATATATATATATATATATATATATATATATATGTATATATACATATACATATATATGTACATATGTGAGAGAGAGAGAGAGACAGAGAGAGAGAGAGAGAGAAGAGAGAGAGAGAGAGAGAGAGAGAGAGAGAGAGAGAGAGAGAGAGAGAGAGAGAGAGAGAGAGAGAGAGAGAGAGAGAGAGAGAGAGAGAGAGAGGGAGATAGAGAGAGAGAGAGAGAGAGAGCGAATCATACCCTTGAGATGAGATGACAGACAAACATGCAGAGTTTGAAACAAATGACCTCGTTTATGACAGAGACTCGAACGCGCGATGTGAGTTGCGGGAAAGTTCGAGGACGGTCTAACGTGACTCCATCAAATCGATGTTTACTGACAACGTTGATTAAATGCATCTTTTTGAGACGTCAAAAAAATGCGGAACTTTTACAGGCGTCCCGTGTTAATTTCGCTCATTTCAAAGAGATGGAAGAAGATACTTGTGTTTACACCAGAAATGCCAAGGGACAAATGCTAATCGATTTTGCTGAGGCTCGATCACTCAATATCATGAATACATTTTCCGAAAGAAAAAAAAAAGCTAAAGTGAAAGTGAACATGGAAATCGACATCTGGCACCAAAAACGAGATGGACTTCATAATTTCAAACAGGCGCGATATAGTGAAAAAAATAAATATGGAATTTAAGAGAGAAAGGAAAGGAATAAGCTCATAGGATAACTGCAACATGAAGACCAGGCGACAGAATTTAGCCTCAACATGCAAAACAGATTATCACTTCTCACTGACGAAGATCTAAACAAATCGACAAACAGTTCAATGCCATAATAAAGGGATCTGTACTTAAATATGCAGGGAAAACGACAAGCAAAGCTTCAGTAAGTTTATGCAAAACTGTAGGGACAAGAAAATATCGTCAATCATGGACTAATAGTGTACGTAAATTTAGCGTTCAAATAATAATAATAATAATAAATAAGTAAATAAATAAATAAAACAGTTTCAGGCAGCAGCATTAGCAAGGCTAGAAGGAGCCTTGGACCAGAGAGAGATCAAATATATGCAGTAAAGAAACCAGACGGAGAAGTGACACATAACAAGAATGAAATAATTTTATTAATGGAAGATTTTTGCAGCTCAGCAGGAGAAGATGGCATTAATATAGACCTTGTAATAGATGTAGGAGAATTTGCAACAGTGAAATTAGCCAATCTTTTTGAATATACCTTATCAACGGCAAAACTCCGAAAGCCTGGGAAATGCAACAATTGAGTTGACACATAAAAAGGAGATAAAGATTATCTAAAAATTACCGCCACATAAGCCATCTATCAATTATTCACAAGCCATCACAACTCGCTTCTCCGACACTCTAACCAGAGTAGAAAACAGACAGGTTTCCGTAGTGGATTGTCAGCAACAGACCCATCCACACACTCACCCCCAAAAAAAAAAAAATGAATATAGGAAACCCCTGTGTATGTCATTCGTCGATTACGAAAAGACGTTTGACTCCGTATAAATAACAGCAATATTAGAAGCTATTCGAAAACACGGAGTAGAGGACATCTATTGAAAAATATTAGAAGATATATACGAAGACAGACAGCGACCATCAAGTTCCATACAGAAACCGAGAAAATTCCATAAAGGTGGTAGGCAGGGCGAAAACATCTCATCAAAATTCTTTACATACAGCCTGCCTTGAGGAAATATTCAAGAAGCTAGAATAAAACGGAAAGGATGTCGAAAATGGGGACAAACATCTATACAATCTTAAGATTTACAGATGCTTTTTTCTCTTCGGTGAGACAGGAAAGGAATTTAACAAAGGATCTGTACAAACTATTAACAAAAGATCTGTACAAAATCAGTCTGAAAGCTGGACTTAAGATGAACAGGAAAAAG